CAAAAATTTTTGGGGGGAAGAAGAAAGGAGTAAAAATGCAATCAGTGCTGGAAAGGGTGGCCAGGAAACCTATCCTCAGGAGAGAACCAGGTCTCAGTGAGTGCAAGAAGATGAAGTACTAAGAAAGGAAAAGGTTTAAGGTGACAGCAAGGATGTCAGTTATTGAAGAGGCGCTCCATAGAGCACATAGGAAAGGGTGTGCTGCTTTAGAGTGAGATGTCGAGTAGGACGTGGATTGAGGGTAATAGATGGGGGATGTTTTCAATGATTTAGCTATGTGTTGGTGGAGCTATGAATTGCTGGGAAATACTGTAATTTTTCTTTTTTATTTACTATTTAACATTCCACCCATGTAAAAACAAAAGAAAGCCAAGAGAATTTTTTTTTAAAGTGTGCTCGATCTGCATTTAGACTCCAGCAGTTTTTTCTCTGGAGATGGATAGCATTTTTCATTATAATTCCTTCAGAATTGTCTTGGATTATTGTATTACTGAGAATAGCTAATTCATGCACAGTGGATCATTGTACAATTCTGCTGTTTCTGTGTACAGTATTTTCCTAGTTCCACTTATTTCATTTTGCATCAGTTAATATTTCCAGGTTTTTCTGAAAGCATCTTGCCTGTCATTTCTTTTCTTTTTTAAAAAAAATTTTTTTATATTTGCAAGGCAATTGGGGTTAAATAACCTGCCCAGAGTCACACAGCCAGCAAATGCTGTGTGTGTGAGACCAGATCTGAACTCAGGTGCTCTGGACTCCAGGGCCAGTGCTCCATCCACTGTACCACCCAGCTGCCCACCTGTCATTTCTTATAGAACAATAATATTCCTTCACAATCATATGCCACAACTTGTTCAGCCATTCCCCAATTGATGGGCATCCCCTCAGTTTCCAATTCTTTGACACCACAAAAACAGCTGCTATAAATATTTTTGGACATATAGGTCCTTTTCCTTTTTCTTTTTTAAAATCTCTTTGGGATACAGACTTAGTAGGGGTATTCCTGAGTCAAAGGATATGCATGGTTTTATAGCCTTCTGGGAACAGTTCCAAGTTGCTCTCCAGAATGGTTGAATCAGTTTACAGCTCTACTGACAATATATTAGTGTCTCAATTTTCTCTATCCCCTCCAACATTTGTCATTTTCCCTTTCTGCCACATTAACTAATTTGATAGGTGGGGTGGTACCTCAGAGTTATTTTAATTTGCATTCCTCTGATCAATAGTGATTTAGATCATTTTTTTAATATGACTATAGATAGCTTTGATTTCTTTGTCTGAAAACTGCCTGTTCATATCCTTTGACCATTTATCAATTGAGAAATGGCTTTTTTTTAAAAATAAATTTGACTCCGTTTTCTCAGGCCTTTATCAGAAAAACTTGCTGTAAAATTTTTTTTCACAGTTACAGTACTAACTATAATTTCCTTCATATCTGTTTCCCCCATTTATTCTACTCTTTCTTTCCTTTCACCCTGTCCATCCTCAAAAGTGTTTTGCTTCTGACTGCTGCCTTCCCCAATCTGCCCTCCCTTCTATTAACACCCCATCCTCCTTGGTTCCTTCCCCTCCTACTTTCCCGTAGGGTAAGATAGACTTCTGTATCCAACTGAGCATGTATGTTATTCCTTTTTTAAGCCAGTTCTACTAAGAGTGAGGTTCAAGTGCTCACTCTGCCTCCCACCTCTCCCATTTTCCCCTCCATTGAAAAAGCTCCTTGGTACCTCTTTTATGTGAAATAACTTACTGCATTCTGTTTCTCCCTTTCTTCTCCCAATGCATTCCTCTTTCTTACCCCTTAATTTTAGTTTTTTAGATAGCATCCCATTACATTCAAGTCAGACCCATGCCGTCTGTCATGTATACTCCTTTTACCTGCCCTGAGAATGAGAAAGTCCTTAGGAGTTACAAGTATCATATTCCCATGTAGGAATGTAAACAGCTAAACCTTATTGAATCCCTTATAATTTTTCTTTCCTATTCATCTTTTTATTCTTCTCTTGATTCTTGTATTTGAAAGTAATATTTTCTATTCAGCTCTGGTCTTTTCATCAGGAATGCTTGAAAGTCCTTCATTTCATTGAATGTCAGTTTTTTCCCCTGAAAGATTATACTCAGTTTTGCTGGGTAGGTGATTCTTGGTTGTAATTCCCTTTGCCCTCCAGTATATCATATTCCAGACTCTCTTATCCTTTAATGTAGAAGCTCCTAAATCTTGTGTTAATCTGATAGTGACTCCACAGTATTTGAATTGTTTCTTTCTTGCTACTTGCAGTATTTTCTTCATGACCTGGGAGCTCGAGAATTTGGCTATAATATTCCTGGAAGTTTTTATTTTGGGATCTCTTTCAGGAGGTGATCAATGGATTCTTTCAGTTTCTATTCTACCCTCTAGTTCTAGAATATCAGGACAGTTTTCCTTTATAATTTCTTGAAAGATGATATGTAGGCTCTTTTTTTGATTATGGTTTTCAGGTAGTCCAGTAATTCTTAAATTCTCTCTCTTGGATCTGTTTTCTAAGTCATTTGTTTTTTCAGTGAGATATTTCACATTTTCTTCTATTTTTTCGTTCCTTTGACTTTGTTTTATTATTTCTTGATGTCTCATGGAGTCATTAGCTTCCACTTGCCCAATTCTAATTTTTACAGGATTATTTTCTTCAGTGGGCTTTTGTATTTCCTTTTCCATTTGGCCAATTCTACTTTTTGAATAATTATTCTCTTTATTGGATTTTTTGTGCGTCTTTTACCATTTAGCTTATTCTGTTTTTTAAGGTGTTATTTTTTTCAGTATTATTTTGTGCCTCCTTTACCAAGCTGTTGAATCATTTTTTATACTTTTCTTGCATCACTGTGTTGTCTTTTCCAAATTTTCCCTTTACCTGTCTTACTTGATTTTAAAACTTTTTTTAAGCTCTTCCAGGAATTCTTTTCTGGGCCTGAGACCAATTCACATTTTTCTTTGAGGCTTTGGATGTAGCAGTTTTGACTTTGTTGTCTTCTTCTGAATTTGTGTATTGATCTTCTGTGTCACCATGGTAACTTTCTGTGGTCAGGTTTTTTTTTTTGTTGTTGTTGTTGTTTGCCTATTTTTCAGCCTATTTCTTGACTTTTAACTCCATGTGAAAGTGAGACTCTGCCCCTGGGGTAGAGGAGTCACTGTCCCAAGCTTTAGGCCTTTCTTGCTGCTGCTCTCAGAGATGGTTCTAGGGGTCTATAAGTTTTCAGTTCTTCCAAGGTGGTATGATCTAAGGAGTGTGATCACTGCTCTCTTGGCCTGTGCTTTGGTTTGTGAGTGACCACAAGCACTCTTTTCCACCATGGAACTGTGATTAGGGTCCCCATTTCCCTGTAGCCACAAGCTTTGATGTACTTGTGCTCCGCCTCTCCTTGGGACTGTGACCCAGATCTATGTATGAGCAGTGCAACAGAGTCCTGTGCTAGCAAAGGGACCCCTATAATCTTCTTCTGACCAGTTGTTTGATGCCCTTTCCATCTGTGGCCTGAAAGCTCTGGAATCCTCCACTGCCTTCTCTGATTCAGTTGCCCCTATGGTCTTCTGCTGGTTTGCTAAGGTTCAGCCTATGCTGGACTATGCTCTACTTTCACCCGGTACTGCAGACCTTTACTTCTGACCTTCTAAGTTGGCTTGGTCTAGAAAATTGTTTCACCCCATCCTTTTGTGAGTTCTGCTGCTCCAGAATTTGTTGTGAGGTGTTATTTAAAGTTGTTTGAAGGGGAATTTGGTAGAACTCACGTGATTCCCTGCCTTTTCTCTGCCATCTTTGCTATAATTTTTTTGTAATTTTTGAAAAATTTTCAAGAAAAATCACTTGACTTTGATCCATTACTGAACACAAACCCTGAAAAGTACAAGATAGGAAGGCACTCTCTCTCTCTCTCTCTCTCTCTATACCAAAATTTTCATGGCACCACTTTTTGTGGTAGTAAAAAACTAGAAATAAAGATGCCCATCAATTGGGGAGTGGCTGAGCAAATTGTGATACATGAATATAATGTAACATTATTGTATTATAAGAAATGACAAATATGAGGAATTCAGAAAAACATGGAAATACTTGTTTGAAGCTTTGTAGGTGTATAACCAACCTTTGTGGTAAATAGAACTTGTGGAACATTATACTCATTGACTATAATAGTGTAAATGAAAATGCTGAAAAACAGGTTAACTCCTGACTAACTGTAATGACCAAACTAGAAAACAGATAATGAAACATAGGCCTTTCATCTTTGTGGTGAGGTAGGTGGATAAGGGAAGGACAACCATTTACAGAGTATAGCATATGGCCTGTAACTGTTAGCTGCAGTTAATGTGTAGATTTTGGTCAATTGGTTGTTCTGTTGTTTTTTTGTTTTTTGTTAAAAGGGAAGATTCAAGAGTGGGGGGCAGTATGGGAAAATGAATAATATTTTTTAAAAGGCAGCAATACTTATTTTTAAAAAGACCCTGGGGAAAATATTTCATTAATTTTCTATTCTTTATAGTTGCCAATAACAGTTCTTTATTTTTCTTCAAAGTGGCAGCTAGGTGGCTCAGTGGATAGAGTATCAGGCCTGGAGTCAGGAATACTCATCTTCCTGAGTTCAAATCTGGCTTCAGACACTTGCTAGCTGTGTGACCCTGGGTGAGTCAGTTCCCTCATCTGTAAAATGATCTGGAGAAGGAAATGGCAAAGCACTCCAATATATTTGCCAAGAAAACCCCAAATGAGGTAATGAAGAGTTGGATATTACTGAAAAATGGCTGAACAACAACACAATTTTTCTTCAGTTTGGTTGCCTTGTACAGGCTGTCTTGTTTGGATTTTGAGTATATTTATGTTTTCAGATTCAAAATGTAAAAAAAAAATTGCTTCTATTTAATTCCTTATCTGATAATCATGACATGTGCTGTATAAAAAAGTGGTTAATAAGAAGATAGTATTAATAATGATTTTTGATTGAATAGCTCCTTAAATATTTACTTTTGTTTTGGTCAGATATCCAAGCTGCTACAAAAGGATGTAGACCAAGAGTCTCAGATGAGAGCAGAAATACAAACCATGAAGCAAGACCTCTCAGCTATTAGCATGATGGATGAATTTGCCAGATACGCCAGACTAGAACGGAAGATTAATAAAAATGACTGATAAGCTTAAAACTCATGGTATGCTTGCAGATAATTTAAGTCAATACCTTTTATGCAATTATTTTTTAATGTAAAGTTCATGTGAAAATTTCTAGAATGATTATGAACATTTTTTTCTTGAGTGGTCTTTTTTAGTACTAGTAGAAATTTTAAAAAGGAAAAAAAAATTAAACTAGAAACAGTATTTATGATTCTAATGCACTTCTATTTATGATTCTAATGCACTTCTGCTTGCCAAGCACTGAGGAATATTTCCAGAGCTTAGCTGGTTTTTTACTCCAGCATAGAGTCAATCTTGTTAAAATGACTTCATCCAGACATGAAGTCTTATCATAGATTATTAGGGATCTTTGTTATACCTCCAGGAAGATGCTGAGGGTGAATTTTTATCACCAAAATAGAGATAATATGTACAGATTTGCTTGGTTAGCAAGAGGTTGAGTGAGGTATTATTACAACTCTGTCCTTAAGTAAGTTTTCTGCTGTGAGCTTGTAACAGATTGCCTTTCTACCTGTCGACAGGAAAGTTAGAATAGCAAATAAAATTAGAAGAATGTCTTCAAATATGAAATGAATCTGATTTAGAGTCTGTAGATTAAAGTTGCATTTTATAAAGTCGCATTTGATGGAAATATACCAGATTCCTTGTTGAGGGGGGAAGGGTGAGAGTAGTTCAGAGTTTTTAAATCCTTAAATGTTAAATCTTTTTAAAAAAGAAAAGTTATTTCCATCTCCATAAATTGGCCTTCTCATTCCACCTTTTTCCTTCCAGTGAAGGCACGAACGGCTCAATTAGCCAAAATTAAATGGGTCATAAACATTGTTTTCTACATATTGCAGGTAAGCATTTTTTGATATTATTTATTCTGTAATCTTTGGAAACCTTAAAATATGTGCTATTATTAAATGTGTGTGTGTTATTAAATCTGTATATGCATTCATATATGTGTATCTATGTAACATTTCATATACAAATTGTCCCTCCAGGATGGAGGGGCAAAATGTAGTACATTATGTGAAACAGAGTTGAGAAATACCTAACAGTTATGTGTGTCATTTGCATCTTTCTTTGCTACCATGCTGAGGATTCTTCTGGCTTATTGCTCTGAAATCTGTACATAGGATCAACTACAGTGTAATGGAAAGAGTCTTGGATGTGGAGTCTTCAGCAGATTTGAGTCTTGGCTCTGTCATTTACATCTCAGGACCTTCATCATTTATTGGGCTAAGGATTTGTAAGTTCACTTAGATGGCAGAAATGAAAACATGGTACGGTGGAGCTCAGTCTAGACTCAGAACCTGAGTTCAAATTCCAGCTCTGCTACTTACTACTTTTACAAGTCATTTAACCTCTTTTGGCTTCAGGCTTTTCATTTGGTAAAGTGAAAGGATTGAACTAAATGACCTCTAGGGTTTCCTCTAGCACAAAATTTTTGATCCTATCAAATTAAATAGCATCTTAGGGTATGGTCTAATATAGGAACTGCTGACTTTGAAACAGAGCTAGTCTGTTTGGCCTCAGGAAAGATGATGCTTGTGTTTAAAACTGTCTGGTTACTAGTAAAATGAGGATCAGATGCTTCTGTAACAGCTGAGGCTCAGAGGCAAGGTTTCACAGAAATGCTTAAATGACTAGCCAGGGAATGAATTTCAGACATTATGATAAAGCATGGTGTGCTTTAAGGTTTGCCAAGCATTTTATGTATGTTATCTCATTTGATTTTCATAATAACCACATGAGGTAAGTGCTAGTATTATCATCCTCATTTTACAGATGAGAAAAGTGAGGTAAATGCAGGTTAAGTGACTTGACCAGGAACACACAACTAGTAAGTGTCTGAGGCAGGATTCAGACACAGGTCTTCCTTAACTCTAGGTCCTGCACTCTATCCTTTGTTCCACCTAGCTGCCTAAAAGGACGTATAGAAATAGATCAGAGTAGAAATTCCACAGATCCAAATATATAGAAAATTCCAGAAGATAGATGAATCAAGTTTGTACCAGGAACTGTGTTGCTGGGTGCCAGAGACACAAGTACAAAAATGAAATAATCCCTTTTGGCAACCACAATATCAATGCAAAATGACCTGAATATCGGAAGAATCTTTGTGGTGTACATGGAGACATACCTTCCTCTTTCAGGAGGGTTAGTGGCCACATTAGAACTAACAGAAGGCAGGAAAATTGTTCAGTAGAAGTACATCTTGCTCTGCAGGTGGCTCCATACCCTGTGATAAGTGTGTGCAGGAGGTTTTGGCGGAATGAACATTTTACTCTTCTTGGCAAATGCCAAGGCCGTTGTGTTTTCTCTCTGGGACTAAAAGTCTTTGGAACTTCATCTGGCGTCTATCCTAGATAGAGATGAGGTAGAGGGAGGAAATGGGCTTTATGTCCTATGAACTATACTAGCTATATCAGTCTGTGACTAGAGAAGTGAAAAGTCTACTACTACTCAACTGAAACTGCTTTCTTCAAGAATAGTGATGATTTCTCAGTTGCAGAATCCAGTGTTCTTTTGTCAGTCTTCATCCTTGACTTCTCTGCAGCTTTTGACATTACTGTTTACCTTTTCCTAGATTGTCTCCCCTCACTTGGCTTTTGTGACACATCTTCCCTAGTTCTCCTCCTACTTGTCTGACCGTTCCTTTGCTGTATCATCATCCATATTCTATCTGTTTTCTTTCAAGGGCTTTGTCCTAGGTCCTCTTTTTTCTTTACACATATTCTCCTGGTGATTTCATTAGCTCTCATGGGTTCAATTAGTTATATGCAGGTAACTCCCAAGTCTTTATAAACATAACCCTATTTTCTCTTCTGTACTGCAGTCCCACATTATCAACTACTCACAAGACATATCCAAGGCTACCTTTTCCTCCTAGTACCTTCCACCAAAAAAAACCCCAAACAAACTTATCCCTCCTTTGAAACTACTCTTTCTTTTATGCAGAGTGTCCCAAAAGTCTTTGGGCTATTTAAGCTTTAATTGCTTAAAATACGTTTGGGACACTCTATATTGAGGACACCACTAACTTTCTAGTTACTTAGGTTCACAACCTCAATGTCATCCTTAAGAATTTGTCCTCATCCTTTATATCCATTCATTTGCTATTCTTGAAGATTCTCCTTCCATGGTGCATCTTGTTTCATATCATTTTTCTCCAGTACCTCATCCCCTCTCACCTGGACTATTGTGCTAACTTCCTAATTGATATCCCTGCTTCCAATTTTTCCCATCAATTCTAGGCTCCATTCAGGTGCTAATGAATCTTTCTAAATCATGTTTCTGTTTTCACTTTTCTCAGCAATCTTCAGTGGCTCACTATTATTTCTAAAAATGTAATGTAAACTGTAATCAATTCTTCATTCTGCATTTAAAACTTTTCACACTCTGGTTCCAATCTACCTTTCCAGAATTATTTCACATTTCTTCCATTTACACGCTGTACATTCCACCTACACCAACTTATTTGTTCCCTAAATGTGGCACTCTGTCTTTGTGCCTTTGTTCAAGCATGTTCCCCCATAGATAGGAACTTGGAATATATTCTTTCTTCACCTCTGCCTCTTAAAAGCCTTAGTTTCCTTTGATGCCTGTCTTCAGATGTCATTTCTTACTCAAAATCTCAACTGATATTGTTCTGAGGGTAGAGCCAAGATGGCAGAGTAGAGAAAGTGCTCGGCTAAATCCCCCAGACAACTTTAAAATAATACCTCATGTGCAGAGCCAACAAAAGATCAGGGTGAGACATTCTTCCAGCACAAGACAACTTGGGAGTTAAGAAAGAGAGATCTATGGCACAGGGGTGGAGGATGGCCTGGAGCCCACTTGGATGAAACACCAGTGGAGGGATTAAGTGGTGGTGACAGAAGGAACCGCAGCTTTGGGAGCTCCAAAGCCAGAGATAGAAAGGGGACCTGGCAACTGGTGAGAAAGAGACTGTGCTAGTGCTGGATACAGGACCCATCACTGTTTGGCAAATCTGTTGCCTCTGCCTACTTTGCCTATTGCCTACTTTTGGGTCATAGTTCAAGGGCAGGGAGGAGCACTTTCCATCAAGATGGAATGGAAGCTCTGAGGGGCAACTGTTTGGCAACTCCATTTGTCTATACCCACTTCTGGGTCATAGTTCAATGGCATGGAGGAGCACTTTCAGTCAAAGAAGCCATCTGGGGCAATATCACTTCTGGTCCCAAGGGATCAAAGTTTCCCTGTGGGAAATGTAAGATATTTGATCTTAGCAGTTTAGCACATTTTATGAAATCAAATTAGGCTCTTAAGCATTACTTTTAGGAGATAATTATGTGAGGAGAATTTGGGTGAAAACTTTTGACTTTGTTTCCAAAACCAATTCAAAGAGAGGATATTCTATCAAAATTTGAGAGAAAAAAATAGTGTGGTTTATCTGTTAGATTAAAAAAAAAGTCAAGAGACAAAACACAAAAAGATAATAAGAGGCATTAGCTATTTTGGCTCCACATCAGTAATAGGCAGTAATCCCTGCAGAGATTGGCATGTAATGTAGCAAAATGGGAAGGTGTCATAGAAAGCCTTATGAGAGTAACAGCAACATTGTGTGATGGTCAACTATGATAGACTTAACTCTTCTCAGCAATACGGTGATCCAAGACAGTTCCAAAAGATTCTTGATGGAAAATGCTGTCCACATCCAGAGAAAGAGCCGTGGAGTCTGAATGCGGATTGAAGCAAACTATTTTCACTTTTTGTTTTGTTTTGTTTTCTTTCTCATGGTTTTCCCTTTTGTTCTGATTCCTCTTTTACAACATTACTAATGTGGAAATATATTTAACATGATTGTGCATGTATAACCTCTATCAGATTGCTTACTGTCTTGGGGAGTGGAGAGGGGAAGGAGGGAGGGAGAAAAATTTGGAACTCAAAATCTTATTTAAAAAAATATTGAAAAGTATCACTACATGTAATTGGAAAAAATAAAATACTACAAAAAGAAAAAAAAAGAAGACTGTATGAGCTTTATGTGTAGTTGGCTTATTTGTCATTTATAATCACATTAATAAGCTTATATTAATGAAGCCTGCTCATAAATCTTTTAAAAAATTTTTTATTCATTTTGAACTTAAATACAAAAAGACTGAAAAGGACATTTCCATGTTCATAGCACAAATAAAAGAGGATTCAATATCAAACCATATATTTCAATTTCAAACTATTTTCAAAACAAAACTGTGTAATAAATACTACACATTTTCAAAACTATGCTGCTTTTCTCTGCTTCCTTCTAAGTTTTCTTTTGTTCTCACCAGTGCAATTTTTATTTTTTTCTCCCTCCCAACCCACCCTAGAGAAGGCTAAAACAAATATGTGTGTATGTATGTGTGTGTGTATACATGTATACACACATTTTATATATGTACATATATACAATGTATATATGTGTGTATATAAAAATGTACATATAAGCCATACTATACATATTTCTGTGTATCAGTCATTTCTCTGGAGGTGGATAATATTTTCCTTCAGAGGTCCTTAGTTGATTTGAGTACTCATAATACTCAAAATGACTTAGTCATTCAGAGTTGTTCTTTGAACAATATTGCTGTTAGTATGGGCAGCGTTTTCTTTGTTCTGCTCATTTCATTCTTCATTATTTCATGCAAGTCTTCCCATGTTTTTCTAAAATCAACCAGCTCATTATTTCTTATGGCACAGTTGTATTCCATCACAATCATATACCATAACTTGTTTAGCCATTACTGGATTGATGGACATCCCCCCAATTTCCAGTTCTTTGCCACCACAAAAAGAACTGCTATAAATATTTTAGAATGTATAGGTTCTTTTCCTTTTTGCCTGGTCACCTTGGGAAATAGATTTAGTAGTGGTATTGCAGGGTCAAAAGGTATACACAGTTTTATGACTCTTTGGGCATAATTCTAGATTGCTCTCCAAAATGGTTGGATCAGTTCACAGTTCCACCAATAGTGAATTGGTGTGCTAGTTTTTCCACATCCCCTCCAGTGTTTGTTGGACATAAAATGGGACAAAATAACTCCTTGTAATTGTTTTGATTTCACCTTTGTTAGTGGTATATTCACCCTTTTCATTTTTAATACTAGTGATTTTTTTCCTGTCTTTTTAAAAATCATATTAACTAATAGTTTATATGTCATATTGGTTTTTTCATAAAACCAACTCCTAATTTTATTTATTAATTCAGTGGTCTTCTTATATTCATTTTTATTACTCTCATCTTTAACTTTTAAGATTTCCAATTTGATGTTTAATTGGGGATTTTTAATTTGTTCTTTTTTCTAGTTTTTTAAAAATTGCATACCCAGTTCATTAGTCTGCTCTTTCTCCATTTTGTTGATATAAGCATTTGGAGATGTAAATTTTCCTCTGATTACTGCTTTTGCTGTGTTTCATGGGTTTTGATATGTTGTCTCATTATTGTTATTCCATAAATCTTAAATTAATAATGTATTTTACTTATCAGATTTTTTTTCCTAGGCTTTATTGATGATCTCACTTATTTGGAAGTATTATTCTGATCCTGTGACTGTGCTACCAAGTAAATGGATAGCTCCATTAGAACGCTTAGTGGCATTTCCTACTGGAGTAACAGGTAAGACCCTTTTGTAATCAATCTGATCTTGCATAAGGGATAGAGTTGTTGTGTAGATTAGCTACACAATATAGAGAAATAAATGGAGTAGATTAGCTACACAATATAGAGAAGTGTTTGATAAATCCCCAAATCCAAATTATTGGGGCAAGAACTCACTGTTACACAAAAATGACTAGGAAAACTAGAAAGCAATCTGGGAGAAGCTAGGCATAGACCAACATCTCACATCGTATACCTAGAAAAGATTAAAATGAGTACATGATTTTAACATATGAATAATATCATAAGCAAATTAGGGGAGCATGGAAAAAATTAATTGTCAGATATATTTATAAGGGAATAGTTGGTGACTAAGAGATAGAATCACACGAGGCAAAATGGGTAATTTTGATTACCTTAAGTTAAAAAGGTTTTGTACAAAAACAGTGCAGACAAAATTAGAAGGAAAGCAGGAGGCTGTGAAGAAATTTTATGGTAGTTTTCTCTGATAAAGGTCTCATTTCTCATATACATAGATAATTAAGGCAAATATATAAAAATAAGATCCATTCTCCTATTGGTAAATGATCAGTGGATATGAACAGGCAGTTTTCAGATAACGAAATCAAAGCTGTCATTATTCATATGAAAAACAATGATCTAAATCACTGATAATTAGAGAAATGCAGAATGAAATAACTCTGAAAGGTACCACCTTACACCTATCAGATTGGCTAAGATGACATTCAAGGAAAATGAAAAATGATGGAGGGGATGTGGGAAAATATGTGCACTGAAGTACTTTTGATGGAGCTGTGAACTAGTCTAACCATTGTGAAAAGCAATTTGGAACTGTGTCCAAAAGATATTAAATTTATGCATACTGTTTAACCCAGCAATACCACTACAAGGTCTGTACCCCAAAGGAAAAGGACCCATAAATACAAAAATATTTATATCAGCCCTTCTTGTGGTGGCAAAAAATTGGAAACTGAGAGAATACTTATCAATTGGTGAGTGGCTGAACAAGTTGCAATATATGAATATTAATACTCTTTTGCTGTTAGAAATGATGAAAGGGATAGTTTCAGGAAAACCTGGGAAGACTTATATGAACTAATACAAAGTGAAATAAGCAGAACCAGGAGAACATTCTACTGTAACAGCAATATTGTAACAGCAGTCAACTGTGAAAGACTTAGCTACTCTGATCAATACAATGAATGACCTCTGACAATTCCAAATGAACTCAGTGCAGATTGAAGCATATTTTCTTTCACTTTGCTTATTTTTCTTGCTTTTTTCACCCTTTCTCAACATGGCTAATGTGGAAATATGTTTTTCATGGCCTCATATGTATAATGAATATTGTATCTCTTGCTTTCTCAGTAGGTGCAAGGAGAGAATTAGGAACAGAAAACAGAAAATTTTTTAAAATAGATTCTTTAGTGAAAATCAATGTATATTTACACACAAGTATGGATAGTGTGAAAATTAATATACATGTGTATAAAAGAAGAGAAATTTGACTCAAATACTTTTATAGCCATAAACAAAAATTCCTGTTAAGGAAATAATATCTGAAATCCAGGATATTTTTTTTCTAGTCCAGCCCCTCCTCATGGAGATTCTGAGGGAGACACCTTATAAGTAATATGTATAGTCCATCATATTCTCAAATAGCCGTCTCTAAATATACACATCTTGTTTTGCATCTTGAGCCTCTTAGGAAGCATGTAACATTCATCATCTTTAGTCCTCTGGAATCATAGTTGGTCATCACATCAGTAGGAGTTCTTAAGTCTTTCCAAATTGTTTGATTATACAATATTATTCTTATAAATTATCCTACAAGTTCTGCTCACTTCACTCTGCATCATTTCGTAAATTACCCTATTTCTCTGAAATTTTCCCTGTCATAATTTCTTATGGTACAGTAGTATTCCCTTATGTGTGATAATTTGTGTAGTCATTCCCCAACTGTTAATTTTTTGTTCTTTGCTTTTACAGAAAAGAGCCACTATAAATATTTTCATGCATATGAGGCCTTTTCCTCTTTTTTTGATCTTTTTGGGGTATAGGCCCAGTCAAGATATTACTGGGTTGAAGGGTATGCACAGTTTAGTAACTTTGGAGGCATGGTTGCAAATTGCTTTTTAGAATGACTGCACCAATTTGTAGTTCCACCAATGATGCATTAATGTACCTTTTTCCCCCACAGCCTCTCCAGCTTTTGTCATTTTCCATTTTTTGGTCAGTCTTGCCAATCTGGTAGTTATGAGGTAGAATCTTAGAATTGCTTTAATTTGCATTTATTTAATTGTCATTGCTTTGGAGCATTTTTTCTATGGTTGTACGTAGCTTGGTTTTCTTCCTTTAAAAACTTCTTTTCATATCCTTTGACCAGTTAGTAGTTGGAGAATGACTTCTATTAGACATTTGAATCAATACCTTATATCTTAGGAATGAGGTTAGAGAAACTTAATGTGAAGATTTTTTTTCCCATTTAACTGTTTCCTTTCTATCCTTAAGGCATTGTTTTGCATTTGGTTGAAACCAAGTTATTTTAATTGAAGCTTTTCCTGAACAATGCAGAATAACTTAACACTTTTGGGTGATAATTGCATGTCAGAGATATGACACACAGCTACACATATACATACGTATGTGCACATATGCATGTATGTATATACACATATATGTATATATACGTATATGTATATATGCATATATATTGCCATCCCAAACTGTAAATAAATGAATATACCCACATATGTGGTCCAGAACTATGTATTTTCTGGGGAAGGGAACTTTTCTATAAGAAAATTCCCTTTACAAGATAGGCAAATAAATGCTCTATAATCTATAGTTTTAGACTTTTGCTTAGAGCTCTGAGAGTTGAAGTGCCTTGCCCAGAGTTGTGAAGATAGGTCTTGAACCCAGTTATCCTGTGTCACATATCCACTATACTATGTTGCTTTTTATTGTTGTTTAGGTCTCTCAAATGGTAATTCACAGAGGACCTCAACATTAAAAAAGTGCTGAAACAAATTGTGAAGGATGTCTTTTACTATATTTATTTAGGAATATAGACCTTTGATAGTATAAAAACAAATGATTTGAGAATACTAAAATATAAATTTATTCTTTCCGTGAAAAATTTGCTTTATTCCAAGTTAGTTATAAATTCAGTCGTAATATGTCCAAAATTGTCAGCATATTATATGTAGGTTTTTTTTAATCATTAAACAGGTGGTGTTGGAATTACGTGTTGGCTTGTCGTCTGCAATAAAGTTGTGGCTATCATGCTTCACCCTTTTAGCTGAAAAGAAAAATGAACCAACTCCAGGATTTTAATTACTATTCCACTATCACAATCAAAAATCTGGTTAAACTTTTTCTTTTAAAGCATACATTTTTCTGGAATGTAGGTATACCAAGGCTAAGAAAAAATTGTTTATAATTGTTACAATTGAAATAGAATGATTTTGTTCTGAATATATTACACATCAATAAGTCCAAAGCTAATTTGTTTTCTTTAATAATGGTGGCATTTATGAGACATTTAATGTAATTTAGAAGTGATTTTTTTTGTCACTGCTGTTAGAAAGCTAGGTGTTTTTAAATCCCCATAAAAGCACTGTGAATTTGTGTTAAATTCTGATTTGCTAAGGGAAATAACAACACTAGTACTAAAACATGACATTTCGTTTTTTAGTTTGGTCCTACAAAATATATTCACTAATACCGAAAGCATTTTTATTATTGACAAAGCTCCACTTTCTGTTGTGATAGTTGTTGATGTTAAATCTGTGCTTATATATCTTTTCTCTAAGGGGTAAACAGTGTAGATTATAAGTCTAGCTTATTGTTAAAAACGGTTAGAATTTCATTATTTTTATAAATGTTTGCTATATGTTGTTTTGTGCATGAACTGCTTTTGTATGTGAAACCTTTATAAATTTATCTTAATATTTAGACTGAATTTAATATTTATGCTCATGAAATTAAAAAGTTAATTGAGATATGATTAAATTATTAAACCGTTTGGACTTTGTCTATAAAATAACATTGTATTAAGCCTGCATTATTGGCTTATTAGTAACTAAAAAGCTTTTTCCAAAGGTTTATAGTAGTTTTTACTTAACCAACGTTTGTTCATTATGCCAAATCATTATAGTATAGCTCATCTCTATGTGGGGTTGTATCGTTCACAGAGTACTTTCCTTGCAACAACCCTATGATGTAGTGCAAATATTATTGTCTTCATTTTACAGATGAGAAGAATAAGACTTACAGAGGTTAAAACTTGTAGATAAATGTTGCAATTGGTCCTTGAACCCAGGTGATCTGAACATCAGGCTCATTCTACAGTACTAGAGTGCTCTTAGTTTTAGATTGCCAATCAACAAGCTTTTCATAAGTGATTACCATGAGCCAGGAACTGTGTTAAGTGATAAGGATACAAAGGAAAGTAAAAACAGCCTCTGCATTCAAGGATCTCATGTTTACATGAAAGAGACAACATGAAACTAACTAGGTACATACAAGATACATACAGAGTAGATGGAAAGTGATTTGAGAAGGGAAGACACTAACATTTGCGACAACCAGAAAAAGGGTCCTATAGAAGGTGGGGTTTAAGCCGAGTTTTGATAGAAGCCAGGGAAGATAGGAGAAGGAGATGAAGGTACAGTGCATTCTAGGCATGAGGGACAGGCAGTACAAAGACATGGAGATGGAAGATAGAGTGTCGTGTTCCAGGAACTGCAAGTAGCCTAGTACAGGTATAATGTAATGTATTTGGAGGGGAGCAAGGTATAAAAAGACCAGAAAGGTAAGGAGGAGCTTTAAGTGCCCAATGGAGTTTATTATATTTGATGCTGGAAGAAATAGAGAGCCACTGGGGAGCTCATTGATTGGATAGGGAATGGGATGGGGGATAAGGAAAGGGGAGCAGGGAAATTCCATGATAGTCATACCTTTGCTTTAGAAAAATCACCTTTGTATCCGAGTGGAGGATATGTTGAAGTGGAAAGAAACTAGAAGCAGGAAGAACAATTAGAAAGTTATTTGAGTAGTCCAGTTGGGTGCTGGTGAAGGCCTGAAATATGGTTGTAGCTGTATGAGTGGAGAGAAAAAGACATGTAGGAGAGATGAGAAGGTAGAAACAAGATTTGGCAATGGATTGGATACACGAGGTTAGTAAGAGCAAAGAGTCAAGGATAATATTGAGGCTGCAAGCCCGAGTGAATGGGAGGATTACTATGCCCTAGAAAGTATAAGGAAGATGGGAGGATTTTGGGGAAGAGACAAATGAATGGGTTCTTTTTTGTGTGTATTGAGTTTGAGATATCTGTAACACATCCACTTTGAGATATATCCAGAAGGCAGTTGATGCATTGTTTTCTCCTCAGTTGTTAACTTATCAAGTGTTACTTTAACAATCAGTTGCTGAAATTTTCATAGTCAAAAAAGCAGATGTGTAACAGGATATAAAAGAGACCTCCAGTTTTAGCTCGAAAAATTTTTATTCAGGCAAGGACATGATTGGAATTTGTGACCTGCTGCCAGCCTGAGTAAATGTGAATAGTTTTTTATGTGTGTAAATTGGGAAAATAGAAGTTTTTGGATTTCTTTTAAATTCAGAGATTTAAGAGAATTTAAATCTGAATGAGGACTCAGGAGAGAGACTAGGGCTGAATATTTAGATTTGGGAATCATCTGCATAGAGATTTGAAGCCATGGCAGCTGATGAGATAACCAAGTAAAATACTTTTAAGAGAAAAGAGAAGGACCAGTACAGAGTTGGGAGGAGAAAACACGTGGCTAGTGGGCATGACTTGGGTGAAGAAATGGCAAAGGTAACCGAGAAGGAGCAGTTAGGTAGAAGAACCAGGAGAGAGAAAAGTCACAAAAACTTAGAAGTCTAAAAATCTAGAAGGAAGTAATAGTGTCACATGTTGAAGAGAAGTCAAGGAGGATCAGGATTGAGAAATGTCCATTAGTTGTACCTCATTGTATCTATTATTGCATTATTGTGATTTTTCCTTCCTCTGGTACAGATCCAACCAACCTTTACTCAAATATTTACTTAAATGGATATATGATTTTATCTGTCTGGATGTTTCTTCCGGTGAAGCTTATTGCAACCCATTAATACCTTTTCATCCTGTGGTACTCTTGTCCTTGTTTTCTCAGGTGCTTGTCACTGGGAACTCATCCAGTGTGTTGGAAGCCTTTCTGGCTTTCTCCTGACATCTTGAGGAAACCAGGGGTGTATTTTGGCTGTCTTCTTATCATCCCTCGTCCTTACTATGTGGCTAACTCATCTTCCCAACCTATCATACATTTTCCTGATGATATGTTTTACTTCTTTTCTTCAGATATCCTTGTTGCATTAGATCTTCTCCATCACAATTGCAGTTATATTAGATGATAAACATCTCTTGTGATGCTTATAATCAGGGAATTGTTGGACAGGGTTTTTTGTGTTTTTATATCTTTTTTTTTTTTGCGAGGCAATGGGATGAAGTGACTTGCCCAGTATCACACAGCTAGTAAGTGTCAAGTATCTGAGACTGGATTTGAACTCAAGTCTTCCTGAATCCAGGGCCGGTGATCTATCCACTGCACCACCCAGCTGCCCCCGTGTTGTTATATCTTTTAAAAGGTTTTGATACATGGAAAAAAGACATTCTTTTTTGTTTTCTTTTTTTGTTCTACTAAATCAAATGTTTCCTCATAATCAACAAACAAACATAGTGGAATCTTACATTCTCTACATTTTTCAATCAATTGCAAAGTGGTAAAGATAATAAGTAGAATTTTTATCAATTTTTAAAGTTTGCAAATCACATGTGTTATCTCATTTGATCATAACACCTTGCGAGGTAAGTGCTATTGCTGTCTTCATTTTACAGGTGAGGAGGCTAAGGCCAAGAGACTTTAAGTGATTTATTCGGAGTCATATGCAAATGTGTGGGAGAGGAGGAAATTAGAACGCAGATCTTCTATCTTCCCAATCCAGTGCTCCATTTACTATGTCACCTAGCTCTCATAAAAGTTTGATCCATTGTAAAACATTACTTGTGAAAACCTACTTGTTCCATGTTAATATGCCCTCATTGAGGATCTACTTGTACACTTCTTCCAGTCTTTCTGTTTTCCAACTCTTGTTCTCTTATCCATATCTATCTACTCCATAAACATATCTAGGACTGTGATATCCAGATTTGGTGACTTTTCCGTTATTGCTGGTGCAAAAAATAGTTTATTGAAAGTCTTTGCCAATCTTTTCCATTTTTCTTGTCTTGTCATTACATTTTCATCCTTAAATGTCCTCAAAAGATTTCGCTTAGTTGGATCTCTTGCCAAATTCACTTTAAACTGGTTTTATCCTTACTGATTCTCCTTGATTTTGTGAATCAGTACTGCTTTTAATCATCATCCATCACAAGATTTTATGAATGAATTTGTAACATAAGCTAGCATTAACTTTGGCTACCACCTCTGACCGCATGATAAGTAAATCTTGTTTGCTGACCAAAGCACCTTTTGGGCTCTTTTGGTCTTTGTTGGTTTATGTTAGTTAACATTCTGTATGAAAATAATATAATTAGTGTTTATTATTTCTCAATTACCCATTTATCATTATCAGTTGTTTAAAAGTTCAGAATTAAGGAGTTTAAGTTGTGTGTTGCATCTTTTTATTATAGTCTAGCTTTTTTTAAAAAAACTAATTCTGATATTTACTTTGACAAATTGGTGGTCCAATTTTACTAATAGTGAAAATGACAAGTTTTTGAACGATCCTAATGTATATCTATCTTTTATATACAATCACAATTATTTTTGTAATCAGTATCTAGCATAATATAGAGAATTTTGACTATAAAATATGGAATTGAATGAAAACAACCATCTCATACTAAAACATACAAAGCCAAGTATTACCTTTTCAAAATAATCATTTTCTGAGGTAGTATGCAATTATTAATTAGTTGCTGTATCTTTGTATACTGTAAATACAATGGCTACCCATGGGCCTGATCTCACTACTGATTAGCGTGGGAGCTTTGACCTGCTCCATTTTCAACCTCCATGGGCAACCTGGTGATGCCCCAATCCCAGGAATTCACCATATTGATATTGGATTTAGTATGGACACTTGATTGATTTAGCCCACTACAGCTAAGAACTCTTGACCTGAATAGATCTGCCAACCTCAGCCTCCTCATATGGAATTACAAGTCTGTTCTACCGTACCTACTTTTTAATTGACGCGCTGAGGAATCCCTGCTTTGCAAATGACTGAATCTTTCATGTTTAAGTGTAGTTAATAAAGTCCGTTTTTGAAACGGGACCATTGTTATTGTTCAAAGTAGTTTAAATTGCATTCTCAGTGACAACATAATAATGAACAATTGCAATAAATACAGTTTGCTGTTTGCATCACACAGACTCTAATCCAGAGATTCTTAGTGTGGGTCCATGAACTTTTTTTTTTAATTAAATTTTTTTGTTACATTTTAAGTTTCAAACTCCCTCCCTCCACATCCTGCACTAGAGAAGGCCACCATTTGACCAGATTTATAAATACATGTAAAACCATGCTATGCATATTTCAGTTTATCAGTTCTTTCTCTGGAAATGGATAGCATCTTCCTTCATAGGTCCTTTCTAATTGATTTGAGTATTTGCTATACTCAAAATGACTTAGCCATTAAAGTTGTTCTTTGAACAATATTGCTATTACTGTGTATAATGTTCTCTTGGTTCTGTTCATTTCATTCTTCATTATTTCATGCAAATCTTTCCATGTTTTTTCTAAAATCAACCAGCTCATCATTTCTTATTCCATCACAATCATATATCACTTGTTCAGCCATTACCCAATTGATGGGCATCCTTTCAATTTCCAGTTCTTTGCCACCACAAAGAGAGCTGCTTATAAATATTTTAGAACATATAGGTTCTTTTCCTTTTCCCTGATAACCTTGGGAAACAGACCTAATAGTGGTATTGGTGGGTCAAAGGGTATAGGTAGTTTAATAACTCTTTGGGCAT